TATGGTATCGAGTGGAATAAGTTGGATAAGGACGTCCAAATGAAAACAAAAAGTTCAAGCAAAGCGGGTCGATTAGAGGCGTCTCTAGCCTTTCACTGTTTTATAGAACTTTTAAAGCAGAATGGCAGAAAAACCAAGGTTGACATATTGAGCAATCCAATTAAGTTATTACTCCAATTAATTAATACTACGATTAGGTTCAGCTGCCATTGTGTTAACAACGCCTCTTATGGGTCTGAATATTTTAGCGTGTTTTTACAAAGCGTAGAATCCAGCTTTACCTTGCAGATTTATTTATCCAATTATTATGTAGCTATGGTTCTTTCTGATGGGTTGTGCAACTCAGTCCCAACGCCCTCGCAACTGGGTTACCGACCATGGCGGCACGAAGCACGAATTCAACAGGTTAGGAAGGGGACAAGCCAGAGCATTTGAGATGCAACTGGGCATTGAGGAATCATTATCACCTAGTGATTCAGTTACATCTACGAAGTTACTTGTTCTAAACAAACGCTAAATGTTCCAGTGTCCGATGTCCGGTCAGCAACTAACTTATTCGTTTTTATATGTCCTTGGTCGAAACCGCTGTGTATGGCCGAAAGCTGCTCTGTGTCTGACATATCTCTCAGTAGAACTGAATTTAGCGAAGTCCGCTAATTTCAATATGCAAATGAATAGATACTTCGGCTGTTTGTTGTGTGTAATAGCTGACCATTGCGTCTGTGAACTTGTGGCCACACTCAATCTACAGATATCGCAATAAAGAGAACTTCTGCGTCTGTCCATCTTTGGCAAATTAGAGATGTATCTATGTACATATATATTTAGTCTACCCAGAACAACGAAATAGTTAGTAAACAAAGTTTTCCTACTTAAGGAGTTTTAAGCTCTCAATATAAATTAACTGCTGCATTACTGCGCGTATACTTTGTGCAAGACAAGAAGAGTATGCCTTTATATTGTCGGTGACACGATTCTCAAAAAGGATTAAGCAGAGTTAGTCCTACACTGTCTGTATGTATGAAAAGATTTTTTAATATGGAGATAACAATGAGATTTAGCTACGATCCTATTTACCAACTCTACGAGCAACAAATGAATAACAAGGATCATATTTGAGCCTTAAATCCTAGGACTAAACGATATCATTCACTTAAAACTTCCTCAGACTCGTCTGTCCCTGGACTCTACATATCATAGTTTCCCTTTAGAGTTCGTTCTAAGTCACATATTCAACCTCTTCGATTAGCTGAAAGTTTTACCATTCAAAACATTACAAGGAATTAATTGGGCGCAGCATTGGTGATCGACTTAAAATTGACATAATCAGTGTGCTATGATCGATGACATCACGTTTTTCAATGTACCGATCACTTTATTATTAGTAATGTCGTTATTTTTAAGTGATTGTTGACGAATGCGGCCACAACAGGCAAAAACTTCTAGCTGCGTGCATGGTTCCTCTAACGACGCGGCTACCAGCTCGACGAAAAGGATCCTAATGGTGATGATAATTACAGCGGCCGTAGTGACGACAATAACAGCGCCAATAGCATTATTAATTCGTACTCACTTCTGTTAGCATATGCTATATATATATATATATATATATATATGTATAAAGTTTAGGCTAGTAGCTGAACACCCAAGTACAGCATCTGCGCACCGTAGGCGGTTCTTTTTTCCTTCGGCAACGTGGTGCCTATGCGCGCGGCAGGGCTCCAAATAGAGATTGATGATCCTAGAAAGAGCTAGCGGTGACGCGGCGGCGTCTGCACCAGGCCCTCCGTGGCGGGCCTGATTCTGCTAAGCTTGCACGACCACTGCTGCCACTGCTGCTGCTGGGCTGTCGGGTTGGCGAGAAGCGGGAAGGGGATCGTCTGTCCCGGGTTGCGCAGAGTAGAAAATCTACGTTGTCTCCGCCAGTGCTACGGACGCTTCTGCCGCCATCGCTTCTGTAACGGGTCGTGGTAGTAGGAGTAGTAGCTATGCGACGGAAAGACATTTTTGTGTCCGTGCGGGCCGAAGACCGACGTCGGCTTACCACGACATCTAACAGGGTGGCCAGCAGTGCACGTTGCAAACGAGCGGCCGGCCGGCAGGCAGGCAGGCAGGCGGACAAACATATACATATGGTGATGGTGGAACAATGACGCTGCTATGGCGGTTAGAAAGTTAAGACCTTTCCCGGTTTCCGACAGTCCCTGCTAAGGCTTTCACTTGCGTCCCGGCCCGCAAGGATAAAGGACACGCCAGGGTAAAGTGTCTAGGCAGGTTGGCTGAGTAGAACCAATTTTTATACACATTGGGCCGTTCGTCGTCGGCCTTCGGGCTTGCGCCGCCATCACCAGAACCACCTCGCTCCTATTGCTACTTGTAGCAGTATTTCTGCCCTATTTGTGTCGCTGGTAACCAAAAGAAGACCAGACTATTGAAAGAAACTCTAATGTACATAGGTAACAAGGAGGGGAGCCCAAATCTACAGAGCTTGATGTATAAAAATGTGCGTGCGTGCAGGCCGCTGTTCCTCTGCGCATCTTTTGTAATTACTACTTAGTTAACGGTTACATAATAAATAGGTGTTTTAACTTTTTTGAATATACTGTTTACTCTGGAAAGGTGTACAATCTGATGGCATGGCTGACTGATGTTATTGTACATCAGTGCCCTAACTTTCGTTAGGCCGTCTAAAAAATTTCCATGTTAGCGTCAAACAACTTGCAATAACACATACCAAGTGTGCAAAACTGGCACAACGAAAATAAAGAACTATAGTGTACAAAATGTACTATCTCGACGGCTTGTTAATGTTATAAGATGATTTCCTTTTTCCTTTCAATATGTTAGCATCTTTCCTAGAGACAACTATGCACGAGCAAAAGGTCGATGGATCAATATGCAAAACGACCCGCCGACCTACCCAGTAACGACGCCCGCTGCCTGCGTTGTCAGGATATCGTCGAAGAAATCAGCCCTATATTAGTTGCCCGATACTGACCAAACCCAATAAAAGATTAGGGCAAAGCGAAAACGAGGAGGTCCGGCGCAAAGTAGTTTACGTGGAGTATGTGTCTTTGTAGACGTAGAATTATTGCACAAAGTTAGCGTCAGTGTTTGCCAAAGATCCCTTGAGGCTATTAATAGGCTTTGCATTGTAATGAACATTGACATTTAATGAAAACGTGCCAAAAACCCGTCATGAATCGCTTTCGGCGAAATTTTCCCGCCGATATTGGGTCGATGATTTGAACGATTAAGTTCTTAAGCATATAGAGGTAGGAATCTGTCATGTGACGCATCATCTTAATATGACCTGCGGTGTTGACTCGTTGTCTAGATAAGCTAAGCTCTCTAAAGTTTTCTTAAGTTCTCTAGCTGTAGGATTCCTATAATGAGCGAAAGAACCAGTATATGGTATTAACGGTGTTTATATCGTTACTTACAATTTGAACATTACTTCACGTATGACGCATATTAAATCAGTGATTACTTCGTCATTGTTATACAAACCAAATTGACAAAGAGAGAACAACATAGAAATTTTTAATCCATTCAATTAAATAAGAGGAGGTTAGCATCTTCCGGGTTTGTTTCAAGCAATCTAATTATCGTTAAGTAACGCACCTTCAAAGATTTCTATGTTTGCCGAAGTGGGAATCCGTGAACAAGTCTGGTTCAGCTCAAGGTAGCGAGTATCTATGTTAACAAGCCGGCTTTGAAAGCGATGGGAATAGCGGTTAGACTTAATGAACTCATTGAAAGCGGACCATAGGTCCAGCTACGACGATATTTTGTCTCTGTCTGAAAAAGTAAATAGTCTTACGTTTTTTTTTGCGTATCGATAACCTTTGATATAGTAATCAAGGCCACCAGATAACATAGATTGCAATTTGAATAATCAAGATACGAAGAAGGAAGCATTTTCTGTACCTCTAATTTTTTCAGTATAAAGCATTCTAAATAGTCGCTCTTGGGGGTGAACGGGGGGCCGGGTAGAGTAGAGCTACTGCATTGATAGACTGAAACATGCCCTCGGCAAGGAATGATATCTGGCTCAATAAAGCTGCCTCTGGTGGGAACTTTGCCGTCTGTTTTACATCAGGCGAACTCGATTTTGAAGCGAAGATAGTATCGAATAATAGTGATAGTCGTTGTATATTTGAGTTTTGAAGACGAAACACAAATGTTTAGCGATAAACAGAGAAAACTGAAAATTTAACATTGAAGAGATTCATTTAGCGGTAGACTGGATGCTTGATGCATGTTTCTTCGCCATGGTAAGCATAGGTAACAAGCGTGCTGCCAGGCTGGTTCAAAGCTCGTTGACAATTAGTACTAAACATAAACAGTAGAGAAAACAGTAAATGAAATACAAAAATAGAATGTTGCTCATAAGGTTAATAATTGCCATTTGTGCGGCTGTTAGAGAAATTCCAAATAAGCCCCAAAAAAAATCCACTCCGGTTCGATCCCTAATGACTGCAATATTTGCGAAAGCTTTTCATTTTCATGGGTATATGAGCAAGCTCATTGTTATATTCGCTAGACAAATCCCACAGCATAAATGAATGAATATGGATCTCTAAGCTAGCGAACGCCGATTACTTTTCATAAACCCCATATAAATTACTCACTAAGCAATAGTAGAGTGAAGAACATTGGCTTCACGAGTCCAATGTGATACGATCCTTGAAACCTATCCTACAAAGAGTAGATCTTCTAACTAACCGAACATGCTACTAATCATTAAGGAACGACGAATGTAACGCGTCCACTGCTGCAGTTAACTTGGAGGTTCCTAAAATAGGTCTAAATAAATATAGTATAGAATATACAAAGACACATTATGCTAAAAATCATATTCTCTTGAGTAAGCTTTGTGGACTCCATTTATTCCTAACTATAGATTCACGTTTTTGCCTAGTGTCCATACGCCATGTTTCCATGAAAGGCCTGAATTTCAGCTGAAACAACGACGAACAAGCGTTTGTAAATCTTACCTCTTTGACAAGCTCTCCAATCATACCATTCCACGTGATAGTGCCGTTCTCATAGCGTGTCTCAACCCCATAACTTCCGTCGGGGGAAGTATACAGCTCATAATCCAGCGGTCGTGGCGACCTCTTTTTCATATCCTCCAGTAGATCAATCAGAAAGCCTTTGTATCTCGGACGGTCCTCTGTCAACACCACGGCAGTATCTAATTAGAACCATTTAGCTAGCGTTCAATCAAGTAGAAAGTAAAAAAATAGCGCTGTCATAGCCTGAGTTTCGCTGCATTTTTAAGCAGCAGGACGGCCATCTTTTTTGTCAAACTTGTCACACTTTTTTGGCCACATTTGTCGTTGTTATTAGATGAAGCAGTTGTAATGGCTCATGGTAAGCATATTGACTAGTGCATAAGAGACGACGCTGCTCAGACGTAAAAAAAACTTGTATCTCTTCAAATAGTGGGATTACGTCAAGCTAAGTGCCAGCCCTCCATGGAGAAGTCTTGAAAATTATTTGTTAATTGTAGACAGCAGAGATCCGAGTGAATCGTTTTGTCGAGCGGCGGGCAGTCGCAACGTGTGAAACCTTCCTGATCTCACAGTATCACATTCTTTGGTGTTGGCCTGGGCGTTATTAGAGATTGTACGTTTTTTTATCTTGATATTTACACATTATTGTCGTATGCAGTCCAGTTTTTATCATCCCTGATTAACTGCTTTAGAAACAAGTTAATTTCGTTATGGATATTCCTCGATCGAAATACGATTGGGTAAATTATTTTTCGTCATTTTCGTGTGGCAGCCAAACATCGAACATTGTTCTTGTAATAGGCCCCTCGTGAAAGGTTGTTCTTCAATTGTCTTCAGGATTTGTTTTTGGAGGAAGGTGATTCTAGCGGTGTTTTAATCGTTGTAGGAGTTTAATGCAATCTGGCGATTTGTCCAAATGTAGTAAGTATGTAGGTACTTTTCACCCATACAAATCTATATATCAGACACCCCGAATGTGTTATCTATCGATCATAGATTTTGTTTAAAATTCACATACGCCCTGAAAAATAAAGGCCAGCTTATTTAGACTAGATAAGCAATAGTCTTAAACCAGCGTTGATTTCACTGTGACCTTCTTCGTAACCTAGACCCTAGGCTACGTGAACATTTTCAGCATAGCTGTTAGTGAAATCGAACCTAACAGTTTAGTCGTCTGATCTTAACAAGTCAGGCTGGACCTTCACTTTCGATTCCGACTGAACGTTAGGCAATATAGTATCGAATACGAGGCCGGTTCTTTGATCTTAGCGGGTTAGTTCCGTTACAAATTGTGCGAGGCCTTGTACAGCACAGAGTTGAAATAAAATATTCTCTTTAGTCCAGGTGTTTTAAACTGTTTGCGACTAATCAAGGTCGTTGGATGGTTTGTTGACGTATCCCGAATCTATGAGTCTTTGCAGCAGTTTAATAATTCCAAACAACTTTCCATTGCTCCTATCAACCAACAGCAAACCGGTATCAATCGTATTGTTCTATCGGGTAGAGTAATCCCGGAGGCAATTAGCTTAGGTGAGACCGCTATCTCAGACCTCACTACATGGACAACCTTGCAAACAAAGCGACCACTTCGTCGTGAGTATTCTGGAGCTTGCACTGTTTTCGGAAAGCTGATAGATACTATGCTTATTTTCTACTTTTTTCAATAGGAGTTAAGTTCTTTTAGAGTGGAGCTGGCATTCAGATAAGTACGGTCGAGGTGTCTATTATCTCAGCGGAGTTGCCTCGTCGGTCGTCATAAAGATTCGGCCCAGTATGTTTACGAAGTCAGACCAAATGGGAAAAACTCTAGGCAGATAGACGTCTTGCTGTTTTCCTTCATCATATTGACATCGCTGCAGTAAATGTAAAGTTGTAGTAAACAGCGCTTAAATAGATAAAGCTTATTCCCATGAATTTTCAACTTCTTCTCCGAGATTGGGGTTCCGGTGATTGAACAACTCATCAACATTTGCACCTCTGTACATTCTCGTTATATATAATTTCCTCATGTTTATTTAGATTTGGCACTTGCGTTCAGCTTACCAAAACCGTTACCCTTGTGGCCTTTTTTTTAACGCCCTCTTTTTTACTGAATGCACTTTTCTTATCTGAGAGCCGACCAGCTATTTCCGCCAGAGCTTTGATTGCGTTTTCGCACCGATTTTTGCGCCGATAGCCAGTCGAATACGACTTTCTTAATAATCTCTATGCAAGGTGCCGTTGAGCTTTGTGAGAGCTCGAAGCTGTAATTTGTTTTTGTGAGCCGTCCTATTGATACCTTTATCTCATCGTTCCGTTGCCGAAATGTTTTTCTTGGCTTTCTGAGCTTTTTCACTTTAAGCAGGTCTGTTCGCAAAAGACGATGACCAATTACTTTCCCAACGTTCTCGCAGTTCTCACCATTTTAAGGGTTGCACTAGTAGCAAATTTCCTTCGAAAGATCATCTAGGAAACACAACGAGGATGAACCCAGCCACTCTAGATGATACACCTAACCCTCTTTCTTCCCTAGACTGAAGGAGCTTTTTTAGTTCCGTCATATAGACTTCACGTGCTTGTCACACATCATCTTGTTACTGAACGTGCACGGTAGCTAACTAGGTCTAACTGCAGTGCCCGTTGTACAAGTGTTTCAGCCTTCTAAGAATTTAGCCCAAGGATCCTCTGTTAATGTCTATTCCTTGAACGTACAGGTTGAATAATATGCCAAAAAATATTTTGGGTTTACAGCCGTCATTACCGCCAAGCATTGTTTTTGGAAAGATGCCAGCATATGCGACAGTAAGTAAGTATTCAACTGCTCAGTATATGGATGTTCAAAATTACGGAAGAACCGCATGTCACAAATCGATGTAATGTATCTATATAATCCTTACACGTTCTGGCCCTGGGCACACTCACATGATTGTGTGACACAAAGAGAACCTTGACAAACCTGTATTTGTGTCGATACACGCTTTTCATTGGGTCTGCGCGGTTATTTGCGAAGATTACTATAGTTTTTTATGATACAGTACTGGTACCTTTTTCCATATATCTCTATATATAAGTTAGAATTTTCGTGTAAGCTTCCATCCGCTATTGATTGGGTTCTGTCCCGCTTGTAAGGCTATGCGTAGTGGATAATACCAATAACTGCGTAATAATAAAAAAACGTGCCATCGACAAATATGTTCTACTAGTCCACATAGTTAATACGAACCTGTCGATAGCTTCTCGTCCTTCATTATCCATGGAGGAATCTGAAATAGAGCGCATTGTCGTTTCGCGGGATACTTGAGTCAGATAATTGTTACATTAGGACAATTTAGGTAAACGCGTCCTCTGCTGATTTCGACAGTGTAAACATTCAGATTGTGTTTAATTTGCATCAGAGACTCAATCCTCAATATGCTTATATATATATATATACAAATTGACACTCTGTTTGTTTTCTACCGGGTAAAATGAGCAAACGTTTATCTGGGAAGCGTCGAACAGTACATACTCACCATCACTGTGACAATCCGAAGATGTATATCGTCGATCTTCGTTTTTTCTTCCTTGCTCAATTCAAATTCATTTTCATCATTCGTAATATTTAGTCCGCTAGACTTCGACCAGATGCCAATCTAAGTTGTCAAGCAACGCAACGCAACGGTTATAGTTATTGTGACATAATATTCTAAGCGATCTGCGTACAATTCAGTAATAAAGGGATTTTACCTGTCCGTCTTTTCGACAATACCAGAAGAAGGATATGCAATACTTGTTTAGTACCTCCTCAAGTCCGTCAGTTCCGAGTTCAGTAACGAAAAGCACAAAGTCTTCTCTGATACCCTTCTCGTTAAAGTTCACACGGCCCGTTGCTCCTTCGAACGTGCGCTGAAATCGGTTCGCAAAAAAATAAGGACTCGACCCTCTTTCTTTCTTTCTTTTTTTTTTACGAGATTTTCCATCAGTCGTCTGTGCAACGAGTGGAGCCTAAGAAAAGCCATTTGATATAGTTCACTATACAAGCATACCGAATAAATGTTTAAATTTTTTAACGCTTAAATCAGTGTGTTGGACGAAAAAAAAACGGTATCTAGTTGGTAAAATTGAACAGTAATTGCAGCTTTCAAGCGTATATTATACATCAAAGGGAAGATTTTGCCGAGTGCTTTGTTAGAACAAGTCTCTAGGATTTGTTTGGAAATCTTTATTGCGACTCTGCGTGTTTCAATGGTTACACTTTTGTATACATACTAGATACACCGTATTATATTTTAATCACTAGCAAAGGCGGAGTATTTGCAACCGCTAAAAATGGTGTGCTCTTGACACCGTTGCCATCCTAGCCATTGGTAAGCAGTATAGGTACTGTTCTGTAATCCTAATATAGTTTATTGCAGTCTGATCAAAGCGTCCGGAAATCGTACAACGCTGGATAGCGACAAAACCTTCCATTACTGCTGTCCAAGTCAAACCGTCTGTAGGAGAGACCCAAACCGTTGAATATAATATGTAGCTTTGACATTTTTTGCCAAGCCTTACTACATATCGATAGACAAAAAACCTATATATATATATATATATATATATATATATAGCTTTGCATGAACACCCACCCCTAATTTAGGATCGGGTAGTGATAGTGTTTTTTGCAATCGTTGTGTTTTGTTGCTATTTTGTCACTGATTTGGACGTACAATCGACCCTGCCGAACGTTTCCGATGAACGTCATCTATGCACCTCTGGATTCTATTTATGTGCGCTCTGCAAAACCTCTAGTTAAAAAAAGCCGAATCATATCTTTATATATACATATATCGTTGAAACACCGCCGGCCGTTCTATCTTCCGTCCCGCGCAGCCTAAATTCGCTAATTTACTGACTGTTTATAGTACGTCTTAAATATTTATCTTAAGGGACCATTAAGTGTCCGAGATTGACTTTACCTTGTACGGATCAAGCAAAACCTTGGAAATGTTACGCCATGCTACCGTTGGAGATTTCCGTTTTAGCTTGCCGTCAAGGTACGTTCATGAGGACGCAGAATCTATAACCTACGTTGTTTTACAGCACACGAGTATTACGAAAAACTTATATAGACTTGAGCCCTGGCAGAATATTTACCTACTCTTCGAGCTCTCTGAGTAACAGTAGGATTATCAAACAAATTTTTTTACCTGACTTTTCTGCAGCGATTTCTGCTTGGACAGGCGTAACTGCGTTTATACACAAGTATTAATTAAAGCGAAATAGAGTACAATGGCAATATGTTTTGCAGACCAATGCTTCTCTTAATCTCATACAATGCCGTTTTAGATTTTTCCAGGATAATTTGTTGTTATCCGTTTTCCTTCGCCCAGGCATACCCTCTTAGCGTGGGAAGCTTTCCTGATGGAGGCTCGGTAGAGTTTGGCCATTTACTTATCGTGGCTCGTCTAACCTAAGAACAATGCATAATATCTCGGCATGGGCTCTAGCATTCATAGCACACATCCAGAATTTTCAATGGATCCATTCGATTTAACGGTCTTTCGGTGTACTATCAAGGTCCATCAAGTTGTTTTTGTATGCAACAGAAGTCTATCTGCGAGGCGGCCGGCGGTAATCCCGATGGCCGAATAACAAAGTACGTAAAGTCAGATTCCAAATTAAACAGTGTTCAGGTTCTCGATATGCAAAGATACCTGGCAGTCGTCCCGGTTCTCCCTAACCAATAATAAAGGTCGTGCTTTATCACCAACACACTCTGCCTTGCCCCTAGAACATCAACGATAGCAGAACAGGAAAATAGCATATTTTAACTAGCGATTTACATAAGTTTCCAGTATAATCACGCGAGCGCGTCTAGACGTACCCCATCACGCTTGTAGACACGTTCGGGCACCCGTCCGTTCAACTGGCTAATCTGCCTTGGAGGTTTCTCAATCGTGATATGAACCATTAATATAATTACGTTCACACGCGAGGCAATCATAAAATGACGGTGTTAGCGAATCGTGTGTAATAGATAAACGCCTGCAGAAAGAGCTGTAATGAATACAAGCTATATGATATACGTATCACGTCAGCCTTTTTCATAACCACTGAAATATTCGCTTTAAAACTCCGATGTGCCCTTCTTTGTGCCTCGTCCATTTGTGAGCGTTTGATAATATTATGTCGCGCATTCGAAACAACTACTATTATCGGCATAAAAAAGAAGCTAACAATCCGCCTCGATCGTTTGGCTGTCGCAAGTGTAAATGGCATCTGATAGGACAAAGTTGTACTTCAGATTTTGAGGTTGCGATAGCGGGTAGTGACGGTTCCGTATCTTTAACGAATTATATTTATGACTCCTTATCTGTATAGCTACAGGACACGTCTTCATATTACGCCAACTAAACAGACTTGTCCAGTATCTCGTAGTAGTTAATACCTGTGCTTATATGTAAATGTAATATAAAAACGTAGTCACTAGGTTCAAGTGTATTTCTATCGATTCAAAAGGTCAAAAGGCCTGATTCAGCTTCATCTTAAAGCGGCCACGGAAGAATCCCTATGCTTCCAATCAGGTGACATTTGCTTAAATATGAATAGGCTCTAAGTTAAGGACAACAAAACGTTACGTGGGCGCTGACAATTGGGCTCGCTAATCGACTAACGCCTGGCCAAGCTACGCTAGTGAACAACAGCATGTAGGTTTAAAATCTACCTGCGTCTTTACATTATGGTAATATTGCTAGCGAGAGGCCTTTTCTCTGTATAGGATCATAGTTAGACTCCGATATCGAGTGTTCATTCAATATTCCCTTCAAATGTTAGCAGAGCTGAGCCCAGCATAAACTCCCAAATGAACATAATCATATTAAGGATGTCGCTGAGAACCGTGCTACGGCGAAAGTTAAAAGGTTTCGGCGAGCCGTAAAGGTGGGTCGATGAAACGATAACACGAAACCACGAGGTCAAGACGACAATATAGGAACGGAAACTTAAACAGGCCTTGCGGGGCTGTTCGTTTCTCGCTGGCCTTAAGAGCAATCCTAGAGATCCCTGAATGGTTCGCGCAAAACTGGAAGAGTCAGTTTAAATAAAAGCAAAGGTTTTATTGGTGGTCACTAGAGATAATGCGTATAAATTCGAAACAAGGACGAGAAGCTACAGTAGCATAGGTAAATTAAAGGCTTTCTTGCTTCAATGGCCCACTGCGTTTCACTATGCTATGTTAGCACGAACACCTGTTTCAAGGGATAACAATTATATTGCGACAATTAGAACGTGCTGGATTTTGATAGTGGAAGCTAAGCTGGGAAATGGCATGGGTATGGTATCTTCCAAGTGCCCTTAAATTCGAAATCTACATTCTCGCAATTGATCTTCCATAATAATAATAATAATGTCTTTGCCGTTATTTCTGAGATGTATATATGTATATATCTGATGATTGAACGAGAAAGCACAACAAGATCACGAAGCTTATTCTCGTCCTCCTTCACCGTTCAGCTGAGTACCAAACTGAAATAACAAACAGCATCTTTCCACTGGCAAAACTGTTACCAACAGCCAGTAAAGCTAAGCGCACACGTCCACGCTGGCTTCCTCGCATTGAAAATAACGCACGGTTATAGTTTCTGGGCATCATCGCTACATGTGGAAATTACTGGGTCGTTATCAATGGCGATATTACGACCATAACCGGAGGATTAATATATTATTCAGCAAACAGGCCAACCATGCTCCCTGTACGACTCTATGAGATATGGATAATCAGTGACGCATATATTTTATACACTAAGCAAAGTTAGTCACTAGACGTTGACGATACGGCTTTCATCGGTCCCACTATATGAAGCATATGGCACGTTTACACAATGGTCTCAGTCGCTGTTCGTTGGTTTAGGTCATTGAGGGTACGAAAGGTAAACCCTTATCTTAGATTTTGTCATGCTGGACACGTTCGAGTTAAAGTCTTGAAACGAGCGGCAGTGGTCTACCCTACAGATGTCTCTAACAAGCGCTGATGAAGGTAAAAGATGCAATAACGTTGAAGCCTGATTACGTGATGGAATTATTCAAACAGATGTTACGCCAATGCAGTTCTTAATGAAGACATTTAAACAAAATCCAAGCATTAACATATTTCAGAATTAAACACAACATCTAAAGATGAAAATAAAGCTATGGAAGTGTTTTTTTGATGAACCTGAATTTTTGCTTTGTTGATAAAACAAAAAAGGTGAGTTTTGCAAAAATATCCACGGAAAAAAAGCCTGTCGAGTCAAACTTGGTTAACTCGCAAAAAATATTCGGTCACGTTCGTAAGTTGAACGTGATCTATTTTTGCCATGTACTAGGACGAACGGACATGCATCAATGGATTGATTTTACAGTACAGAAAATAGACAATGCCAAACAAAAATAGTGATACTCCACAATCCTACTTACTGAGATCAGGCCGACTTTCTTGGACTTATACGATCTTATTTTGGTGACAACTGTTGATGTATGGACTACGGCCAACCACTACCCGGGCCAAATAATCATTTATATATGTCATACCTATGCATGCTTAAAGCGAAAAGACAGAAACTAGCTTTCATTACCAATATATGAGCGAGGAACAAGCAGCAGTAATATCATTCTTAGCTGATCTAGCTAGCCAGTATAAAGGGCAAGGGAAAAAAACCGAGAACAAATTAACAGTCAGTTAGCGCGGTAACAATACGAACAGCAGGATAGCGTCATCCGTTCTCGATAATAACATCCTGCGTCAGATTGAGTTCAGACACAACGAATGCCCTTGGGATTTTTATGAGTAATCATACTATATTTACACATGTAGTGCTCCTGGAGGGGGCAATGCCAGGGGCGCAGTAATCTGAGCGTAACAGACGCGATTCTGTTACAATAAT